TGTCTATTATACTATTCTGTATTCCCTTGTGTAGCCATATTTTAGCTCTGTAAGTGAGAACATGCAGCACATATGTTTTCTGTTCCTGAGTTACTTCACTTAGTTTAGGACAGTGACCTCCAGTTCCATCCAAGTTGCTGCAAAAGGCATTATTTTGCTCTTTCTAATCTCTGAGAGTACTCCATGGCGCGCGTGTGTGTGTCTGTGTGTGTGTGTGTGTGTGTGTGTGTGTGTATCACATTTTCTTAATCTACTCATCAGTTGGCACTTTGGTTGATTCCATATCTACAATGGTGAATTTTACTGAAGTAAATATACAAGTATAAGTATCTTTTTGATATAATGATTTATTTTCTTCCAGATAGATACCCAGTAGTGGGATTGCAGGATCAAATGGCAGATCTACTTTTAGTTCTTTGAGAAGTCTCCATACTGATCTCTATAGAGGTTGTACTAATTTACATTTCCACCAACGGTGTATAAATGTTCCCTTTTTATTGCATCTCTTCTAACATCTATTATTTTTGGGCTTTTTAATGTCCATTCTAATTGGAGTAAGATGGTATATTATTGTGGTTTTAATTTGCATTTTCCTGATGATTAGTGACATTGAGCATTTTTTCATATGTAAGGTGGCCATCTGTATATATATTCTTTTGAAAATTGGCTGTTCATGTCATCTGCCCACTGTTTAAGGGGTTGTTTTTTGTCTTTCTGAGTTGTTTGAGTTTATTGTAGATTCTGGATATCAGTCCTTTGACGGAAACATAGTTACTCATATTTTCCCCCATTCTGTAGGTTTTCTATTTACTCTCATTATTTCTTTTTTTTTCCTGACTTACTTTTTTTTATTTTTTAAAATATTTTTTATTTTTATTTTTTATTTCATCATATTATAGGGGTACAAATATTGTTAGGGTTACAATATTGCCCCTTCCCCCCTCAATCCCCCGATGTGCCAGAGATTCAAGCGTGTCCATTATTTCTTTTGCTGTACAGAAGCTTTGTAGTTTAAGTCCTATTTATCTGTTTTTGTTTTTATTGCATTTGCTTTTGGGTCTTAGTCATAAATTTTTTGCCTAGACCAGTCAATGTCCAAAAGAGTTTTTCATAGGTTTTCTTTTAGGATTTTCATTGTTTTAGATCTTATATTTAAGTCTTTAATCTATCTTGAGTTAATTTTTGTATATGGTGAGAGGTAGGGATCCAGTTTTGTTCTTCTGCATATGGCTGTAAGTTTGATTCTTTACAGAAAAAGCTTGCCAACTCCAATTTTCCCAGCACCATTTACTGAAAAGGTGTCCTTTCCCCAGTTTTTGTTCTTGTCAACTTTGTCAAAGATCAGTTGGGTGTAAGTATGTGGCTTTATTTTTGGGTTTTCTATTCTGTTCCATTGATCTATGTGTCTATTTTTATTATATATGCCAGTCCCATGCTATTTTGGTTATTATAGCCTTGTAGTATAATTTGAAGTCAGGCAATGTGATGCCTCTAGCTCTGTTCTTTTTACTTTGTATTGCTTTGGCTATTTGGGATCTTTTTGGTTCCATATGAATTTTAGATTGTTTTTTCTAATTCTGTAAAAAGTGATGTTGGTACTTTGATAAGAATTGTATTGAATATGTAGATTGCTTTGGGCAGTATGGTCATTTTTACAACATTGATTCTTCCAATCCATGAGCATGAGATGTTTTTCCATTTTTTTTTGGTCTATGATTTCTTTCATCAGTGATTTGTATTACGTAGTTCTCCTTGGAGATATCTTTCACCTCCTTGGTTAAATTTATTCCTAGTTTGTTGTTGTTGTCATTGTTTTGTATAGCTATTGTAAATGGGATTGAGGTCTTGATTTGGTTTTCAAATTGGTTGTTGGTGTATAGAAATGCTATTGATTCTTCTACATTGATTTTATAACCCGAGACTTTGCTGAATTCATGTATCAAATCAAGGAGCCTTTTGGAGGAGTCCTTAGGGTTTTCTAGATATAGATCATATTGGCAAACAGAGATAATTCAACTTCCTCTTTTCCAATTTGATTGCCCTTTATTTCTTTCTTTTGTCCGATTGTTCTGGCCAGCACGTCCAGTACTATGCTGAGTAGAAGTGATGAAAGTGGGCATCCTTGTTTTGTTCCAGTTCACAGGAGAAATGCTTTAAACTTTTCCCTATTCAGTATGATGTTGGTTGTGGATTTGTCATATATGGCTTTTATTATTTTGAGGTATGTTCCTTCTATGCCAAGTTTTTGAGGTTTTTTTTTATCATGAAGGGATGCTGGATTTTATCAAATGCTTTTTCTGCATCTACTGAGATGATTACATGGTTTAGATTTAATTCTGTTTGCATGGTGAAGCATATTTATTGATTTGCATATGTTGAACCATCTTTGCATCCCTGGGATAATACCCATTTGATTGTGGTGAATTATCCTTTTGATGTCCTGTTGGATTCAGTTTGCTAGTATTTTATTGAGGATTTTTGCATCTATATGCATAAGAGATATTGGTCTGTAGTTTTCTTTTTTTTATTGCATCCTTTCTTGGCTTCTTGAGTCATATATCTTAGTGGAGGGAATTTTATTCATACATTGTTCCTCAATTCCAAAGCATTCTCTTTTAAAAGATTTGTTCTCTTCATTAATTCCTTATTAGTATATTCCTCCAGGATGGTGAAAGCCAATTTAATATTTCTAAATTGTCTCTTACAAATCTTAACTTAAATGCAGCAAAGTTTATTCTGGGTTTCCATGAGTCTAAAATTTATGTTGATGGTTCTGGTCTCCCCTTCCTCATAAAATGGCTTGGGTACATTGCTTCAGGGAAAATAACAGTGAAGCTGGTTGAGGGAAAATTGAAAAACCCATAAAGAAGTAATATCTGTTCTTAGAATGATTTTGTAAAAATACTTTTAGATTTACTCTAGTGATTCTTCATAAGAAACAAATATGAGATTTATAGTTTTAAATGCAGGTATTTATCTGAAGAGAAATATAAGTGTTAATTAAAGTAGTTATAAATGGATTGTTTTCATTAAGATTTGAGATTTTTATGGCAAGTAAGAGTAAGAGGCCAGTCAAAAATCAAATAAACTAAAATAGGTACCTGAGATGTCTTTATAAAAGTTCTTACGCAGGTGGTAGCTAACAATCTGGTATTCCTAGAATGTGAAACACATACTCTTTGGCAAATTAGCAGAATAAATAGACAAAGGAATAACAGTTTCTGTTCCTGATAGGAAAATTTTATACGTTTTATACTTAGTCCATTAGATTATTATCTCTACTTAGCTGAGTGTGTGTTAATTTTTTTTAATCTATGGATTAGTTAGGTTGGTGGCTCACAGTTTTTTTTTAACATAAATCCATAGGATAATATTTTACTAGAGTAGATTTAATCAACTGGGGAGATTGTTCAAAGTGCTTCTAGCGATGGTATAAGTTATTATGTTCTGAAGATACAAATTTTGTTATATCTTGTCTGTAGTACCTTAGTACTTCTAAGATTTAAATTTTCTATGCCTTTTTTATTTTTTGTTTACTTGGTCTTTCTGGAATTAAGGTAGCATTTATTTCCTATTATATTTATTTTCTACTCAAATTAATCCTTGTACTTTTAAGAATTATGCTGCAATGTTATTTAGTCCGTAAAATTTTAGCCATATTCTTTTGTCTCTTTTGATTGTATTTTGCATTTATATAAAGGACTTTTATAGAATAAAATAGAATGCCTTTTACCTTGAGAAAAAATGAAAAGTCGTTTCAATGTGTCCCCCTTCTGTTCTTGTCATCCAAATCTATGTTCACTGTGGATTTGCTTGTTTGGACAAGTTTCTTTTCTTGTCTTCTCAGTAGCAACCACCAGGGTCATTCTTTTACGTGTCTTTTTTTTTTTTTTTTGTGACTCAAAAGGAAGTGTTCACTTTGGTCATTAATTTCTGTTTTAATTTGCTCCCATTGTTATTTATGGTAGTTTATAGAAACTGTTCTTTAGTTGTGACATGTGTTTTATTCTTTCATCAATTATTTCTTTTATTTAGGTGCCACATATCTGCCACATAAAGATAATCATAAAGACATCTCAGGTACCTATTTTAGTTTATTTGATTTTTGACTGGCCTCTTACTCTTACTTGCCATTTAGATGCTGAAGGGAATGTATGCTTGTGGTTTTTTGTTTTTGTTTTTTTGTTAAACTTACTTTCCATGATATTATTACTTTGCTTTTTAATTCTTTTTATTTTGGTGAATTTGGAGCATATACATATAAGTATATGCTAAAAAAATATTTGAAAGATAATCACAAGCCAACACATGCGTTCGGCTCAAGTCTGAGGATGTACCTACACAATAAAAATAAAACAAGAAGTGTCAAAGTGAAATGTCAGAGATATCAACTGTCACACTTAGTACTTAAGGAAATTGGACATTTTATACTTACTAACCTTTAGTACCAGGCATGTAATGCCTTTGAAGGTCATTTGGTTTTTTTTCTGAGTGTAATGGGGGAGCTGTTGGAGGATTTTGATCAGAGGAATGACAGGATCTCAATTAAAAGGATCACTCTGGCTGCTTTGTTGAAAATAAACCATAGGGGAGCAAGAAAAGAAATAGAAAGACTAGTTAGGAGGCTTTTAAAATAATGTAGGTAAGAGATGATAGAGGCTGGGACTGAGTAATGGAAGTGGAGGGGGTAGAAATGGGTGATTGCTGGATGTGATTTGAAAGTAGAGCCAAAGAAATTTGCTGACTATAGATGTAAGGGGTCTGTGTATGTGAACAGTGACTCAGTTTTTAGTTTATAGTTTCAATTCAGCAAGACTTGCTCTCCCTTTGCTTTTGTAAACATATGACATTATATAATTTCATAGAAAGTACATATACAATTTTAGGCATGTCATAATATTTCCTAAATATTAACTTCTTGAGATCGTTCTTCTGAGTATTTTTTTAAATCACTGAACAATTCATTTATTTAATGTAATGAATTTACTTCTTTTCATTAGGAAAGTAAGAGAATCACATTGCTGAAAATTTGGGAAACCCAGAAAAGAAGAAACCCACCCACCATCATTTGGTAGGTACATTTCTTTATAGTCTTTCCCTCCCATATGTTTTCTTTCAGTTATTTTTAAAACTATGTAATTAAACCTGGGAAAATCTCATTTTGCTAAGAGGAAAGAAAGTAGCAGGATACTTCTGGGTGTTTTTATTTTTTTATGTTCTAATTGGTCATTGATTATCATGTCTAAGTCAGCCGTGACTTGTGCAGCAGAGTTTGAAAATCCTTTTATTAGGATTTTAAAACGTTTCCCCCCATATTTTATAACTTTTCCTCATAAACATCCTGCTGAATCATTTTATTGAAAATATTAGGAAGTAGTCTCAAAGGTAAACCCTCTATTTTTTGTTGTAAACTGTTATCAAATCAAAGAAAAATGCCTTTTCTTGAAATCTAGTTAATTTGAGGTGTTTTCATGAATTTTAACTTTTATATGGATCTCTGAGTTTTCACATTTTCACTGATTCTGTAGACTAGGCAGATATAAATGCATACACACATACACACACAAATATACACCATATGCCAAGAAGCCTGTGAGTGTGTTGAATTTCAATATCTTCTTCTGATAAGCTACAAGGTATTAAGTCAGTTATATCTGAGTAAATACACAATGTTCTAGGAAACCCAGAAGGCTCTGTGCTTCAATGACTTAAGTCAGACCTTCGCTAGTAGGTTTTGATGGGCAAAGAAAATGAGATAATTTAAAAAATCATTTTGCTTTTCTTCCTTAGCTGTGTTGGTATTATATTATATCTTCTTGGGCAATGGCCGAGGCTCCCTGACTGCTGATCTTGTTTGAATCAAATAGTTGAAGAGGATAATAGGGAAATCTTAGTCTTTTCCTTAGCTTCAGAAACCATGTTTGGTTGCCAGGTTTATGAATTTATGGTTCCTACCTTGAGTCTGTCCATGTTAGAACCAACAAATTGGGTAATTTCTCTATTAACTTAATGCCAGTTATGTAGGATATGCATGGTAAACATTCACTCCCTTACCTTCTTATTTCTGCTTGGTGTAATACTTAAGTATACTTTTACAGAGTGCAGTATGCAATGGCAGAAAAGATAGTCCACTGGAATCAAAATGTTATTATAGTGTAATAATTTACCAGTCCTTAGAATGGAAATATGCTAGTGAATATATTTCTCAATTGAGGACTTAGAGATTCTGCTTCTGATTCTGTAACTTTTTAAGGAAATTAATTTCTCTGTGCCTTACCTTCTTTGCCCATATTATATTTCTTCTTCATATACAGATATATACTGAACATAACAAATTGATTTGTAGAATTTGTAGAATTCTAAAACCTAAGAGGTTTTAGAGATCAATTAGCCCAACCTGTTATTTTTCAGATAAAGAAACCAGTGTGTTGTTCATAGAGATGAAATGCCTTTCCCATGGACACACTGGACCTGAAAGAATTCAAGATTTTTGACTGTTTTATGTGCATTGTGTATAATGACACAACTTAATACTATACTACACTGCCTTTTGCAAGAACTAGATCCTCAAACTTTTTAAACAGGGGGCCAGTTCACTGTCCCTCAGACCGTTGGAGGGCCAGACTATAGTTTAAAAAAATCTATGAACAAATTCCTGTGCACACTGCACATATCTTAGTTTGAAGTAAAAAAACAAATGGGCAAAAACACCTGCATGTGGCCCGCGGGCTGTAGTTTGAGGACGCTTGAATTAGATGGTGATCCAAAAATTATAAGGCTTTTAAAAACAATGTTTTTTTTAATAACAGTCGGGGGGGTGCTACAGTTTATGTGAGCTCTTTACTGTCTATGTCATGTGAAGGATTTTTTTTCCCTTTGATCATATGCCTCTGCCTGTTGAGCACAAAGCTGATCTTCAGTCTTAAGCCAAGTTTATGGAACTTTGAATTGTATAGCTGACAATCCTTGGTTTTCCAGGCAACAAATGGCTACATAAAGTGTATTGTTTTATCAACCTTGACTCTTGAGTAGGATGCACATGTAATTATAGAAGAAAAACCAAGAGAAGAATCTAGAGTCAAAGTTAGTCCTCATTAAAAATTTTGAGAATATTCATTTTTGAAATATTTTTCATTTATATTATTGCCTATTAGGTATTGCTTAATAGGCTTCTCTAAACTCTAGTATAATACATGGGTCAAAATTATACAACTGGGTATACCTAGAGTTGAATTTTAGTGTTAGAATGGTAGCCTGTTGATGTACATTTTTAGTTAAGTGGAAAATAAGCAATTATAGAAACCGCTGGATTTGTTAGGTTGTAAATGAAGAAATGTTAGGTTGTAAATGTGTCAATATCTGCTTCAGAGATTGATTTGCTAGTTGTAATGTTAGCTTTTTCTGATCTTTATTTAATCTAAAAATGATATAGAAATGCTAAAGAAATTTAAAAGTAGATCACTGAATTAGCTATTGCTATGATAATGCTGTGTAATAATACTAAAAGGTTTGATGACTTACAACAACAAACTTTTTTTTTTTAACTCGTGGTTCTGTGGGTCTGTGAGGTGGACTTTCCTTCAGGCTGTCGACTGAATTCAGGTGTTTTTCACATGTTGTGTTTTGGATCCATTGGTAGCCTGGGGCATGTTCATCTTGTGATTGGTGGCAGAAGCTCAAGAGATCAAGCCAAGTCACTCAAGCACATTTAAAGTCTTGCTCAAGTTGTGCTTACTGATATTCCATTGTCAAAAGCAAATTACATGACTAAGCCCAAATTTACTGGGGCAGGGAAATATGCTCAACTTGCTCTAGAGGGAGGTATTACAAAGTCACATGGCAAAGGGCATAAATGTATAATTTTGTAGCAAGGAAAGAGTGGAAAGCTGATTAACAGTAATATGATTACCACAGTCACCTATAAATCTCGTCCAAGTAACTCATTTTTATATAAAAAGTTTTTCCTGTATTACATTGTATTTTTATGATATAGGACTATTACATAGCAATAATCATAATGTGCCTATCATTTCAAATTTCTCTTTTGTCCTATATGGCTTCCAATTTTGGTTACAAAACATTCTTCTATTGCTTTTTAAACAATCCTTTGACTGTAAGCACTACTTGTATTATCTTTTTCCCCCCCTGTAGTTATTTCAAATTAGTCTTTATTTATTTTTACTTTCCTTCATCCCACTCATTATACTATTTATCTGGGAAATTACTGCCAACTTTTCAAATTCTCTCTTCTTCGTTCACCTAGATTTCTGTTCTCATCCCTGCCATAAGAAACCATACTGCCATCTGCAGCCTGCTTAGGTATATCCTTTATATTCTTTTGTTAGCATCTAATTATATTAGGACTTATTAAGCTTCATGTGACGGAAACACAATTTAAACTAGCTTGTGCAAAAATAATTTATTGAAAGGGATATTTCATGGAATTAAAATAATAGTGGATTTATCAAGACCGAGGATAGGAACAGGTAGAGTTAGGCCTCAGGAATGACTCAAACAAAGGAATAGGATTTGGTTAAGACTCTCTCTTGTCTGTGTCTAGGATTTGCTTTTCTCTCTTATTGCACACTGGCATTCTTCCCTGAGGAAAAACATGACAAGTCACTAGTCTACAAATCTTAGGAATTGGGTTAATTCTGCAGTAACCAACCCCCTGGCTGCCAAGGCCTATTGGGAACCAAGCTGTGCATCATCGTCTGAGTTACCCTGCCCTTTCATCCCCTCATCTGTGGAAAATGGTCTTCCATGAAACTTAGGAACTGGGCTGCACAGCCAGAGGGGAGCAGCAGGCTTCATCTGTACTTACAGCTGTGCCCCAGCTCTCACTCACATTACCATCTGAGTTCCACTCCCCTAGCCCCACTCCCACCTCTGGTGGAAAAATTGTTTTCCATGAAACTAGACCCTGGTGCCAAAAAGGTTGAGGACTGCTGGGTTAATTGATCTAGCTTAGATTTGGTGTCCACCTTTGGATCTGTTTGGCTGTGGGGTTGAGGTTTCTGTAATAGCCATGTAGTTTGAGTAGAGGGAAGGCTTAGTCCCAGAAAAAAAGATTTGGTGATTATTGCTGGACAAATAAAAATAGGTATCTGCTAAAGTGATGTGAATTAATAAAGTTACTTTGTGCCTTTTTCAGGGCCAGAGACATACTTGCATACATTCATATATATTGGTTTGGCTCTTGTCTGCGAACTAGAATAGTGAATGTATAGTTTCATGAACAGAGGTCATGGTAGTCATTTCCTGGACTGGCTCAGTTCTTCAAAGCATAGAAGAATTTTGAGTGATATTGTTCTATATTATTTATGCCCATTTTCTTATTGTACATTAAGAATATTTCTTTTTCCATTTTTATAAAGGGTCTACTACAGTCATTCTAATTTTCATGCCTAATAGTTCTCCCAGCCTATTAAATTTTGACTCACACTTACATTTTTGGGTTTCTATTTTAGTTCAAGAGCCACTTGAAAATGAATAGGTACAAACACATAATCTAAAAGCAAGAAGCAGGCTAAACACATTTGGCACAGAAGGAAATTAGATCATGTGTACTACAATTTTGTACTTTTGAATGTGTTCGGTTATTTTGAGAAGAAAATAGCATCTCGGTAGACATTGCTGAATGTTGTACTGTTTCAAGTGTATGTGAGAGCTGTAGTTTTAGGCATCCAAGTGAGGTGTTAATTTAGGTATTATCATTGCTCATTTAACAAGAATATGGCATTAGAGTAAGAATTAAAAGCTGTTTCACTTGGTAGAATTGCTATAGATGTGGGGAATAAGTATGTGGTTAAGTGGTTCGATTGATCCAAATATTTATTGAATTCCTTTGAGTTCAGAGCATGGAAAAGGGAAGGGATAGAAGAACCCCCCTCCTGATTTTCAATAACACTGTTAAGTTTTCTGACCCTTATTCCCATATACCTTTAAAATTCTCTGAAAATGAAAATGTTTATGCCTAAACTATAGTTTCCAATTTTTTTTTAAAGATAGAGTCTCACTCTGTTGCTCTGTTGCCCAGGCTGGAGTGCCATGGCACCAGCCTAGCTCACA